CAGTAGTGGAGCAGCCAGGCGGTGAATTGGGTAAAGTAAAGTGCGCGTGGGTCCCCCCAGCGGAGAAAAAGTACCATGTGTGAGCTCCTTCATACAAATTCCCAATTTGAGCTAACGACGGGTTAGGATTGCCAACGTAAAGTTGATCATATCCAAACTGTCTGGCGAACCGAGAAGGCACATAAGGCTCAATGATGCACTTCTCCCGCAAGCGATAGACCAGGTAGCCCAACCTGATCATAAGAAGCCAGCTAAATGTGCCCTCTTCCAAAGAAGACGAGCCCTCAAAAAGCAAGTCCATGAAGCGGGCATCCTCCACGTCAGCTCCGTCAAAATTAGGAGCGCAACAGAAAATCCGGTAATTGTCTTCCCGGGATAGAAGCTGTCGAGCCCTGACTATATAGGAATTATTCCATGTGGCTGACTCCAATCTCTGTACGAAGGGAATATAAGTGTCATCACCCTCATGTATTCCCGTCATCAACGAAGGGCAATGCAGCACGAACCAGGCCACCAAATACGTATACGGCACTGGTGTACGTGGCTGAGGAGTTTTCCCGGCTTTCTTTCTATTAGCCTTGATTCCCGAGGCGCCGAGAAGCTCGGAAGTCAACATCCTTAGGCCGTTTTGTATGCAGCTGACCATAGCAATAAGGAGGCTCACATGTCTCCCATGCGCCAATAAAACAGCCGGGTATACAACCTCAGCTAATATCGCCTCTATTAGCCTCGACGGTACCACACACCGCTTCAACCAAATCATGAAGAAACTAGCAAGAAGAGCCATGTCAGAAATAGGAACCATGGCTTGGTAGTAAAAGCTTTCAAATTCGACACCAGCCTCAAAATCATCCTCTGCAGGCTCTGTCTTGTAGGTAGCATTGGAAGCCTTAATTCGAGCTTTGGCGTCCTCAGGAGAAATAGCTGCAACACGAGACACGGCTATGGCTTTCCGGTTTAAGTTATGAAAGAGGTATTCCGCCCACGTGGTATGCATAATGCCCCCCTCCACGTATCCCAAAGACTTGAGCGCATATATGGAAGTGGCACATCAACTCCCAGAAAGTAGACTAAATTTCAGGATGTGCTGCCCTCCATAAGGAGAGTTCCTCGGTGGTAGGAACAAATTCTTCGTATGGCACTCTGTCAAACGGCAATCCCGATACTACCTGCATCTCATGAAGAGCGAAACCTAACTCCCCTGTAGGTGTGAAGAATGTGCAGTTGTCCGAATTGTATCTCTCCAACATAGCAAAGAAATTGTGATAACTCTGCACGACTCCCCGTCGAGTAGCTAACACGGGAACTGTGAGACCCGATTGAAAAGAAATTGTGATAACTCTGCACGACTCCCCGTCGAGTAGCTAACACGGGAACTGTGAGACCCGATTGAGCGAGTGGTTCCTTAAGCTCCTCAAGACCCCGTCGAGTAGCTAACACGGGAACTGTGAGACCCGATTGAGCGAGTGGTTCCTTAAGCTCCTCAAGAAAGAAGTCAACCATAAGGGTCCACTAACCTCCTTCTCCAGAATAGACCCATCCGGGGGATCTGAACATCTGGGTAGAGAATTCACCCTGAGTTGCAAGGAATTGGCGAATAAAGATGTTCGCTGGACGTGGTATCTCCTGAACCAGACCCCTCTTCTCAAATAAGCCGGGTCTCAACCCCTTGAGTTATCCCCTGATTTGTGTACGAGCTCGCCGACCAAATCCAAGCGACACATTCTCTTTCTCTTCGACTATGTCGAAGGTCAAACCCCGACGACAGCTCATATTCAAGAAATAGGAGAGGGGATACATCCTCTTCATGTTGGGGAGGAATAAGAAGTGATTATCAGCTCTCCGCATCATCTTTGAATCTTCTGCATGTGTGAGGTGATCATCGACTGGTATACGATCTCCGAATATGAACGCTGGTTTGGAAAACTGGGCACGACCGGTAGGGGTCTCCATGTCTAAGTCAGTGATTAGAATCCTGAGAGTAGAGCATCGAGAGAATTTAATCATGTCCGCTCTCTCCGAGTCAGGGAAGGTACACAGTGGAATTCTACTCTGAAGACTGAATATTTCATTTGCGTCAGGTCCACTGATATATCCAAAATGATGCTCTGGTGAAAGCGACACGTTTGGGAGAAGCACTGCACAATCAAAAGCAGAGGTTAGCAGCTAGAAGCGAGCTGTTAACATAAATACAAAATCTCAAACGCGAAAGTCGAGCCTCGCATCAGAAATCTCAAACGCGAGAGTCGAACCTCGTGTTGAAAAACTTAAACGCGAGAGTCGAGACCCACATGGAATCCCAACTCCACGTTTTCATCGAACAGAAACGAGTAATCATTCTCGTTGTCAAGAAGCCATCTAGGGTTTTCAAAGAACTTGCCAAGGAAAGTTATTTCGGTCAACACTTACCACGACAGGGGAGCTCCTGCGACGGTGATGACGACGACGATGTTCCCGCACGAACAAGAACACCGCCAGCGTCCTCAGCCGACGGCGTTTCGGAAGTCGCTCCAGCGACTTTCTTGGAGCTAGAACCCATTCTCCGAGGCGCCATCGATACAGTCGTTTCGGAAGTCGCTCCAGCGACTTTCTTGGAGCTAGAACCCATTCTCCGAGGCGCCATCGATACAGTCGATCGGAGGAAACGCTTTTGAACGAGGGAGACGGAGTACATCAGAGATCTCACCGAAATCAAACGAGAATTCTCGTTCTTGGAAATAGCCGAAAATTTAGAGAGTCAAGCGACTCTTGACGTGACCACTCAGGTCTATTTATAACAGCCGTCAAGCTGTTAAGATGGCACGGGATTCTAGGAGTGAATCCCAACCATCTTTGAAACGCGAAGTTCACAACCGCGTTCAAATTCCCAAGTGCAAGGCTCAAGCTAGCGTCACGAAGGCTTATAACCTCGCGTTTTGAACCTCAAACGCGAAGGTCACCTTAGCATTGTAATTCTTCTAAATGAAGGACCTACACCTGTGTCTTCAAACACGACACTTATTCCTCAAAGTCATGAGCCCTCTTAACAGAGTGTTAATCAAAACCTCTGTATCTTCTCAGCAGAATCTGAATTCTCATTGGGTTAATATTACACCCCAGACAGTCATCACCCCTACAGAGTTTAAGTTTAGCTGGCATTAATACCATTACGGCTATAGCTCCTCTGTCAGAATCCACTTATTGATTCTCATTAATAGAACGATAAGTCTCTAAAACCATTCAGATCATTGTCAATTTATTAGCTCTCCTCAGCAGAGTAATAAATAACCAGTTTCCAGTGGGATAATAAAATTCCTCAAAATCTTGTTCAAATCACAAGTATCACAATTCATCGCTCTGATGATAAAACACTTAGCCATTCTCCCCAGCGAGACAAAATATATATATATTTTCTCCACAGATGTCATGTTAAAATCACACCTCTGACAAAATTAACTTATCGATTCCCGTCAATAGAGCGATAAGTCCTCAAAATTGCCCTGATCGCAATATTTTTCCTATCACGTTAAAATCACACCTCTGACAAAATCAACTTATCAATTCTCGTCAATAGAGTGATAAGTCCTCAAAATTGCCCTGATCGTAATATTTCTCCTGTCACGTTAAAATCAAACCTCTGACAAAATCAACTTATCGATTCTCGTCAATAGAGCGATAAGTCCTCAAAATTGCCCTGATCGCCTTATCGATTCTCGTCAATAGAGCGATAAGTCCTCAAAATTGCCCTGATCGCAATATTTCTCCTGTCACGTTAAAATTACACCTCTGACAAAATCAACTTATCGATTCTCCCAATGGAACGATAAGTCCTCAAAATTGCCCTGGTCGTAATATTTTTCACGCTAAGTTAAAATTATACCTCTGGCGCTTATAGACTTCTTTCAGTGTTCAAAGCAAAAATAACACAGGAAGAATTATACTAGTCAGCCCCATTATGGGAAAATAATAAAGTATTAATCCTCAGTAGTTTGAAATTTTTTGGAGTTATCTTAAACGATAATAAAGAGAGTTTTCTGCATCAGAACCATTGTGGAGACCTATTCTAAGTCGGGAATACATCTCGGTCATTTCTCGTGATTTGTTGCTTAAAATCAGAACATGATAAATGCAAGAAACAATGAGGAATCAATATCACTTTTTATTCAAGAACCAAAAGAAAGTGATACAAGACAAACTTGTTCTTATCAAAAGAACATTACAAGTGCAAAATTCACTCGCGCATCAAATCAAAAGAAATAAGTTGGGTCCTAACTTCAGTTAGCTCCTCCTCGTGAGTGGCTCGCACCATGGCTTTAGCCTTTGCCCGGAGTTCTTCCTCACTGGGTATGATGATAGCCGCTGCTTCATTCCTGGCTTGTTCCAAGGCTCGAGCCTGCGTGTGATATTCCAAAGCGCCAGTAGCATTTTGGATGCTAAGGATATTGACAATGTTTTCTTCACGGGAGAGTTCAGCCTTTAATCGCAGGACTTCAGCCTCAGCTTCAACAAGTCTATCACGAAGCGAATTCATAGAAGTAGTCGAGCGTTCTAACTCTTCTCGCTTCCGAATATTACGCTCGTGAAGCTCCGTGATTTGACGCTCTCTTGTAGCCAAGTCCCGCTCTATCGCCTCCCGACGAGCCACTTCTGCAACTTGAAGACCAGCCAAAGTAGATATAATTTGTGGCTGAAGCTCACGAGCCACTTCTGCAACTTGAAGACCAGCCAAAGTAGATATAATTTGTGGCTGAAGCTCTCTGCGACCTAAGGCTTCAAAATGCTGTAATTGTTCTTCCAAACGAAGGATAATCTCCGAACAGCGCTTGAACCACGGAGTGTTCCCCACACTTCTGACTCCGTTTAAGCCTGCCTCCAGAAGAGGTCTGAAGGAATTAAAAGTTCCCTGACCACTCACCATATATTCAATCACCTTCTTCGCAAGGCTATTCAAATACACCAAGGAAATTTGAAGGAACTCAGGTGCGCCCGCAAGACTTGAAGTGACACTCGGGGATACTCCCCTAGCCATTGAAATTGGTGCAGGAAACATTCAATTGTGATGGGCTTGAGGTCAAAGCCATCATTGCCCTTGCCTGAGATGTGCTTGGCCGTGCCTCTGCTGGAGTAAGTGAGATCTTCAGCAATGCGGTAGGCGAAGAAACTACAGTGGCTGAGGCAGGCAGAGGCTGCTCTTGCGCAGGAGCTGACACCTGCACGAGCTGTTGTTCCGGAGGAGAAGTCATGGTAATAGCCCCAGGTAATGCTGCAGTTGAAGCAGTTGCCATAGGTGAGCCTGGTAAGCGTTGCTCTTGTAAAGGAGTTGGCACCTGCGCGACCTGTTGTTCTGAAGAAGGAGGAGCAGTAGTAGTCCCTGGAGGAGGTGAACCTGCACGAAAAAAAAAAGGTCAGAACGCGAAAAAAGCATGTGGAAGAATTTGAAACAAACCCGGCTTATCGGTGAGATAAAAAGGAGTATAACTAGATGCTTTATTAGATGGAGCCTTGGGAGCATCATCAAAAGTAGTGATATCATCCATGGAATCATGTTCGTCATCACCTTCACCGTCACCTGACACGTTGCCAATTTTAGCATCCTCATCACCTCTATCTTCGTCAGCTGCATCACCAATCAAGGAGCCTTCATAATTAACTCGCTCCTCATCATCCCGGGTAGCTGAAGGTTCAGGAAGATTTGTGCCAGCAGCTGGTTTAGTCATAAGTCCTGTTGTCGGACTAGGACTTAAACCACAACCTTGCGACATTAGTGCTGAAGGAGGAGGGGATGGATTCTCTTCGAGACCCCCTGTTCTAATACAGGAGACTTAGGAAGGTCCATCATCGGAGCAGATTCTGCATCTGCAGCCATTAATTCACCCTCTTCGTCCTCGGGGGATGGTAAGAAGAAGCTTCGCTCGATAGGGCTGGGCCATGAGAACGGAGCCCAGTTCTATATGGCAGGCCTGCAACTGAAGATTCGTGTTGGTCTTCATCTTTAGCAGCTCTAATAGCATCAGCCATCAACTTGGATTTTTGCTGGCCTTTAGGTGGAGGAGACTCAACCATCAACTTCCAACGGATCTGCTTATCGTATCGGCCGGCTTCATCCGCAGAGAGTTTTCTTTTCCCCGCTGCTTTCGTTGTGGGAGAATCAACCACTTGTTGCTCCTCTACTGGAATAGGCTCAGCTCCTTGTTCTTCTTCGTGCCCAGTAGGCTGATTCTCAACGGATAGAAACTCGTCAATCCCTCTCAAGCGGGATGTCTTTGACCCCCTTCTCGAAGCATACATATGCCTGATGTCTTTTAGGCAAGACATATTCAAGTTGTAATTAGGAGTCCAGGAAGCGGCAAAATACCAGTTGCAGAAGCTCATGGAAGTGTAGGAGTTAGGTGTTTTGTGGGGAAGCCTGAAGATTGATCTGGTACAACCTGCCACAGAATAGTACCAAGCCCTAGTCCCTTCATATAAGTTGCTCACAACTGAGAGCTGAGGTCGAGGGTTCCCAACGTACAACTGATCATACCCAAATTGGCGGGAAAACCTATAGGGTTGGTAAGGTTCGAGGAAACATTTATCACCCTGTCTGAAGATCAGATAGCCTGGCCTGATAGAGAGAAGCCAATGGAAAACACCCCCGCTCAGCTGGGTGAATCCGTTAGGACCCGCCACGTCCTGATACTCTGCTCCATAGACACAGCCTTCAAAATCAGGGAAACAACGGAAGATATGGTAGTGGGTGTCTCGCGATAAGATTTAGCGAATCCTAACCATATAACCTCCCTCCCATTTTGCAGATTCTAGTCGTTGCACAAATGGGATAAATGAGTCTCCTGGGGGAGAGGCTGCACTCATTAGGGGAGGGCAGTGAAGCACATACCAAGCCATTAAATAGGTATAAGGCAATGGCACCCTGGGGTTGGGAGTTTTGAAAGCCTTGTTACCCCCAGACTCAACCTCTGTAACATCAGTGAAATCCAAAGCCAACTCACACAGTCCATTCTGCAAGCAACCCACCATAGCAGTAAGGAGGCTCACAGGCCTCCCATGCGCCAAAAGAACAGCTGGGTAGATCACCTCAACAGCAAGAGCATCGATCGGCCTGGTAGGAACGACGCAATGCTTGAGCCACAGTATCAAGAATCCAGCCAACAGCGCCGTGTCAGAAATAGGAATCAAAGCTTGGTAGTGGAAGCTTTCAAATTTCGTATGAGCCGGGAAAACATCTTCCTTGGCCTCGTTGGTGTAGTGGGAGGTAGCATCATTAATTCGGGCTTGGACCTCCTCCAGAGTGCTTGCAGATAATCTGGTCACTGAGGCTCCCTTATTGGTCAAGTTCTGGAATAAATATTCCACCCAAGACACTTGTTTAATGCCGCCTCCTCGAGCCCCCGTCTGCTGCATACAAATGTGGAAGTGACACATGACTTCCCAGAGGGTGGAATAAATTTCGGGGCTGGTCTTCTTCAAAATATTAAGTTCCGCTGATCCCGGAACAAATTCTTCGTACGGTAAATCCCCAAGAAGGAGACCCAAGACTTCATGCATCTCGTGAAGAGCGAAGCCTAACTCCCCCACAGGGGTGAAGAAAGTACAAGTCTCAGGATTATACTTCTCTAAAATGGAGAAGAAATGAAAGTGGCTCTGGATAATCCCGAACTTAGTAGCCCGTACAGGAATCTGCAAGCCAGCTCGAGCAAGAGGTACTTCCAACTCCTCCAAAACAAACTTAGTCATCCGGGTCCACCACCCTATCACCAGAGAATGAACCCAGCCAGGAGTTCTAAATCCTTGCGCGGGAAACTCTCCTTTCTTTGCCATAAACTTCTTGACAAAGGTATTCGCCGGACTGGCCACTTCACCGACAGGATATTCTTTAGCAAACAAGCATGGCCGTAAAGCTGTCACTAGTCTGTTGTAACCAACTGTGCGGACCCCTTGAAAAGTCAGGGTTCCGAGAACAGCTCCATCCTGATCTTTAACCAGGGGCCAATCCATACGCCTTGGGATGGAAGCGCACTGAAAGTAGGATATGGGGAACATCCTCTCCATATTGGGCAAGAAAAGGTTGCGGTCCCCAACTTTCCGCAGCCACTTGTAGTCCCCATCATAAGCAGCGCCTGCCTCGAAGTCAACAAAATCCCCGAAGAGGAATCCAGGTGTAACCAATATCCTAAGGGTCTCAGGAGAAGCTTGGGTGATTAGTTCCACGCGACTCTTCTCCTTAATTCGGAAAACTAGGAGTTCTTGGCGCAGGTTGAAGGTCATATTCAGATCCACACCACCTTCGTGCCCAAAATAGTGGTGAAAAGGGAGAGGCTCGCTGGTATGACGCACTGCAAAATAAAGAAAAGTTAGATAACGCAAAGGCAAATTTTAGACGCGGAGGTCGAACCTCGCGTTGAAAATCTCAGACGCGTAGGTCGAACCTCGCGTCAAAAAGTTCAGACGCGTTGAAAATCTCAGACGCGTAGGTCGAACCTCGCGTCAAAAAGTTCAGACGCGTAGGTCGAACCTCGCATCAAGAATCTAAGACGCGAAGGTCGAACCCCTCATCAAAAATACTAAACAACGGAGTCCAGCCCTGCGTTATTGAAACGAGTTTCCTCGTTGATCCAAAGATCAGAACTTGCCGAAGCAAGTTTAATGACCACGGAGGTCGTACTCACCACCGATCAAAGGAAGTTAGGGCGGCACGTTCGCCTGAGCAGTAGCGCCCGGCCGACGCGCAGACGGCACTAACCCCTGAGCCATGGCGACGTCGGACTTGGAGGGACGAGGAACAGCCTTCTTGGGTGCCATGGATCTCAGTCGAAAGAGAAGATGAGCAGTTCTCGTCGGAAATGAAAACGAAAATTTTTGTTAAAGTTTCAAGAAGAGTCGAATGACTCTGATTTGACCCCCAGCGGTCTATTTATAGACCGCTATAGGCTGTCAAATCGGAACGAGATTCTAGGCCAGAATCCCGCCCAAACTCGATCTCAGCGATCGAGTTGGTTGAGATTCCAAACGCGAGGCTCAACCACACGTTCAAATTCTTAAACGCAGGGCTCATCCACGCGTTCCAATCCTCAAATGCAGAAGTTATCTATGCATTTGGACCATTATAATAGCAGCTCCTCGACTACCAAGGCTACGACACAGCCCCAGATAAATAAAAGAAGAGCTAACAGCGATCATCAAGGTGACCAGAGCCGAGAAGAAACAAACGACTCCGCTGGGGAGTCTATTGGAGGAGTACAGATAGATTACAATCAACAACATTGAAATCATCTGGCTCGATCAGACGGAGTGAATAATCAATCCACTAAATTTTGGGATCCAAAGTATTCTGAAAATTCGTCCCAGACAACCGCGAACTTTCGAAAACTTTGGAGGGGGTTCTGTAGGCTGTCTAAAAATCACAATGGATAGCTGATCCCTATCAAGCCCCAACAATGGAAGTTACAATCAGACAACTTTCTAATCACTGCATCCGCAACTCTACAATCTCTACAAACACGGCCTCATATTTGAGATGATTGATCTTGATGGCTGTGACAACAACATAACTAATATTATATTAGTAACTATTAGAGATGCTGATGAGCAGTATAATGATTTCAAAAATAAAATGTTGGACTTAGTTGATGAGTTGCTTGGTAGAGAGCTGTGGGAAAATATTCGTCTAAAAATCACAATGGATAATTGATCCCCATCAAGTTCCAACAATAAAAGCTACAATCAGATAGCTTTCATGTCAACAAACAAAAGCTGCAAAAGGAGGACTTTTCACATAGATCGAGAAGAGTTATAATTCAACGACACTTCCGACAACTGATGAAAACTCTATTCAGCAGTCTTCACAATCTACAGTGAAAGTTACAATCTGACGACTTTTACACCCCACAACAGCTAAAGCTAGGATTACTGAACAACGGTCCTTGCAACGCTCTGTAGAAGAGGTTACAGATCAACTAACCCCTTCTAAAACGCGGAAGTCATCCCCGCGTTACAATTCTGGAAATGCAGGCGACCCCCGCGTTTCCAAGCTGCAACAAGCAAAACGCGAGCGACCCTCGCGTTCTTGATGTTCAACCAACACCCGACCCCCGCGTTTCCAAGCTGCAACAAGAAAAACGCGAGCGACCCTCACGTTCTGGATGTTCAGTCAACACCCAACCGCGCGTCTCAATTCTAAGATACGAAGTTAGGATCCTGAACGCCAGATTGGGCGTTTGACTCGTTCAAATATGAGTCGAACGGTTTCAGAACTGTTTTCCCACGATCTGAGGAAATCACACCCACTTAGGAGCGGATTTAGAGGGCAGTTACAACCTCTTATCCACCTATAAAATCTCAACAAACTCAACTGAGTTAAGGGCTGGCTTTTTGGAACGGAGAGGCAGCAACAGAAAGGATTCTTCAAGATCTCAACCGCACAGAGAGGCATGAGAGGCGAATTCCTTGGAGATAGAAGATTTGAATCAAATTCAGAAGATCAAATCTAAGAGGATTCTTCGATAGAAGATTTGAATCAAATTCAGAAGATCAAATCTAAGAGGATTCTTCAACAACAGAAGATCTGCTAAGTCATTAACCGAATTTTCGGTTCTAACAACTCTCGTCACAGAGTTCTAACTCGTTCAGAGTTCTTAAACTCGTTAAGAGTTACCCATCAAACTTTCCACAGAAGTTCAACGTTCCCACGAGATAAGACGGTCGGATCGTCAACGGAGAGCAAATTCGACGCGAACAATCGAAGGAGGCACTCCATCGCTACCGAGAAGAACCCAGTTTTAAACAAAGGGGAGAACCAAATTCGTTCTCTTCTCTTTTGTAATCAAATTGTAACCGGGATCGAAGAAATACAAGTCAAGTTTCTTTTATTCTCTTTATTGTAATTTTTTCCAACATACAGTGATCGAGATGCTCAAATGATCATCGAGAAGTTCACGGATAAGAAGGAGATGTGTGATGGATTTTTCTATGATTATGCAGTCGATGAAGGAGGTCGATTAACTCGCATTTTTTGGGTAGATGTTATTGGACGAAGAAATTATGATGTATTTGGAGATGTGATATCATTTGACTCTACATATTCCACAAACAAGTAAGATTTTATAGTTAATCTCTTACGATTTTCAATGAAGAATCTGGATTCACCTTAGTGAATCGAGATTCACTATGTTTGATTGAATACAAATTCACTCTACTAAATCGCGATTCACTTGAGTGAATCTCGATTCACTCCAGTGAATCGCGATTCACTGTAGTGAATCTCGATTCACTGAAGAGAATCGAGATTCACTCAAGTGAATCGAGATTCAACTACAGTGCATATTGCAATAATCTCTTACGATTTTCAATATTGGAATTATATATCATACTGAATCTTATATTTTTTTTTTGTATGTAATACAATAGGTACAACATGAAGTTTGTTCCATTCACTAGGCTTGACAATTATAAGAAGTGTGTTGTATTTGCAGCAGGATTGATAGCTAAAGAGGACATTTATAACTATGTCTGGATTTTTGAGGTATTCATGAAATGCATGATTCGCGAGCCAAAGTGTATTGTTACAAATCAGTGCCCTGCCATGAAGTACGCTATACCAACCATCTTTAGAGAAGCACGTCACCGTTTGTGCATGTGGCACATCATGAAGAAATTTAACCAAAAGGTAATGAATCCCACATATAAACATCATGAATCCTCATTAGATAAATATTGAATCTTTCGTTATATATTTATATTGTAGTTGGCAAAATGCATTTTGAAGATGGATGATTTCAAGAGCAAGATAAATGCACTGATTTGGAGTATAGATATAGATCCAGCAACATTTGAAGTAGGTTGGAAAGATGTTATGAAAGAATTTAAGCTTCAAAGTAATGAATGGTTGTGTGAACTGTATAACATTCGGGAGTCATGGATTCCAGCCTATTATGCTGATGATCCAATGGCTGGATTATTGCGTACTACATCAATATCAGAGAGTGAGAACAGTTTCTTTGACAAATTCAACCGTAGATCTGACACATTGATAGAATTTTATCTCTGATACGAGAGTGCTATGGATAAGCAAAGGCATACAAACGCAAGATTAAACTATGAAGGAACAAAGTCGATGCCAAGAATGGACACGCCATTGTTATTGGAGAGGGATGCAGTAGAGTTGTACACTCGAGCAATGTTTTATGAGGTACAGAAAGAGATAATGTCATCCTGTTATGATATGAGTATCAACAGTATATCAGAACAAGATGGTGTGAAGATTTTCTCCATAAAGGACAAAAAGAGACATGGAAAAATATTTGAGGTAAAACTTAATAATGGAGATTGAAAAAATAAAAATTGAATCGCGATTCAATAGAGTGAATTGCGATTCAATGAAGTGAATCTCGATTCACACCACTGAATCGCGATTCAGTGACTATTTCATGCGCTTGTCATTTTATTTTTTATTCAGTGCTAATATACATTGTTTTTTGAATTTTAGGTGAAACACGTTGTTTTGAACAATGACCTGCAATGTACTTGTACGATGTTTGAGAAAATAGGTATAGTATGTAGACATGGGTTTTTTGCACTGAACCAAGCTGATGTAACAAAAATACCAAGACATCTTGTTGTGAACCGATGGACAAAAGGTGCTGAGATGAGGCATTCATTGCAGTTCAAGGAAATATCAGAACAGTGCAATGCAATTGAAGTTACAAATCGCAAGTTGAATGACATATGGTATGATTTCCAATCCTGTGTGAGTTTGGCAGGTTTAGATGGTGAGAGACTTGACTACTTGGAAGGGAAGTTGAAGGAGTTGAAGCACAGTTTGCGTGAATCTAGTGGGAAATCTGACACACAAAACAAAAATGATGTAATGGAGTTTTTTGTTGGCTCAAAAATACCAATTGAAGTGATTGTTAAACCTCCCATTGAAGGTAGAAACAAGGGGTGTGGACGGAGAATTGTTGGTGATTATGAGAAATCAATTAGTCAACGAAAGAAGAAGGTGCCAAGGTTGTGTAATATATGCAAAAAAAAACTCGATTTTCATGACAAATGGACATGCCCATTAAAGAAAACATTACAGCAGAGTGATGTTTAATTTAGTTGTCATATTTCGTTTCAAAATCATGTTTAGTAATACATTTCTTATTAGAATTGCTGAATTGTGTAATTCTTAACGACATATATTTACTAGATTATTAATTACATGGTTACGTTGTGTCATGTTAGTATATTGAATAGAGATGTACTCATATAGCATGTAAATTTCATTATTAGTAGTTGTATTATTTCAATAGGAATGATAAAGTAGTTGTATGCAGTCATCAAATTAAAATTGATTCGCTTTAAGTGATTCTAGATTCATTGTAGTGAATCTGGATTCACTGAATTGAATCTGGATTCACTATAAGGATTCACTATAATCATTCAAACAATCAAATTATTTGATTGATTCGCTTTAAGTGATTCTGGACTAACTATAGTGAATATAGATTCATTGTAGTGAATCTGGATTCACTGAATTAAATCTGGATTCACTATAGTGAATCTAGATTCAATCAAATAAATTACTAATAACTTAAGATAATATTGAACAAGTGAATCCAGATTAAATACATTCAATCCACAATAAGTATGATTAATTTACTAAATCTTTCATTGTAGTGAATCTGGATTCACTATAGTGAATCTAGATTCAATCAAGTGAATAACTAATAACTTAAGATAATATTGAACCAGTGAATCCAGATTAAATACATTCAATCCACAATAAGTATGATTAATTTACTGAATCTTACACAAAACCTTGAATTATAACTCACATTGTCTGCTTAAATGAAATTCTTTCAATTGCATTCATTACCTTCATAGTATTTTTATATATCCAAACTATTCACAAATCTAGAAATAAAATTATGACAAAGCTATTATATATTATAAAGTATATTTACATAGAAAAGCAGATCAAAACAAACTGTTATATTCAATAACATTAATTGACAATGTATATCAAAACAAACTGTTATACTTCAACAATTCAATTATGCTGATGACAGAATATCATTTTCTATGAGATCTTGTGGTCTTCCTCCTCTCTTGTTTGACATTGGTAGTTTCAGCATGGTGCTGTTAGGCTTTCCTGATGACTTCTTTGGCCAATTCATTTGTTGGATCAGTAAGAATTTGGCAACAGTATATAGACCTCAGTCTATGTACGTAGCTGATTTTTTAATCGCTCCTGTCGATATGAACAATAATTCAGTTCAAGATTCAGTAGCTATATTCTAAATTTTATTAATTCATAAAGACTAACTGTTAATTATCAATACAATATTAGTTTAAACACTTACACCCTCTCTATGGAAACCAGAGTTCCAATTTGCTGTACCACCGCCCATGTAGGTCTCCATATGTCTCATGACAAAAATACCACAATCAAATTCATTTTTGGCCGTTCTCCGCTCCATCTCAAGTCTGTCAGTCTTTAATCTCTTTATTTCACTCGACTTGTGATGTTTTTTGTGTGCCAAATATCTCACAAAATTCTTGTGCTGTTTAATCAAAATTAATCAGTGTCACATAAAAAATCCAAATTATCATACAGTAATGTCTAATGTAATATACAAATTGTTTTGGTTGTTTATATGGAAACAATATTCATGACAGTGAATCTCGATTCATTGGATCTACTTCGCCAGGATTTAATAGAGTTAGTTCACCTGGACTCAATCTAATGAATCTGGATTCACACTAGTGAATCTGGATTCACTAGAATTAACTATAGCTAGTGAAGTGATTTCCTAGTGTGAACACAGATTCACTAGCTCTAGTTAATTGAGATTCACAGAAAGATGTGAATCCAGATTCACTAACTCTAGTGATCGAGATTCACTAGAGTTAGCGAATCTGGATTTCTCTGACTCTAGTGAATCGAGATTCACCAAAGTGAATCCAGATTCACTTATTACTGTATTCTGCCAGTAAATGCTTAAAGCACATACGTAACGTGGAAAAACATACTAAATCCTCAGGACGACCTTGATATTTTTCCTTGTAGTCTGGATAGTTTTTGCTATTATCAATCAGCTCCATACTTGGATTCTTTAGCCCATAGCACACAATGTAGAAATGCTCAAACACATTTATGGGAAAGAAGACCTAATGGTTGTGAAATTTAATCAAGCACACAATGTAGAAATGCTCAAACACATTTATGGGAAAGAAGACCTAATGGTTGTGAAATTTAATCAGTGATTTTACAGATATAGTTAAAATTGGGTTAAAGAACAAAAACATTGTCTTCGAATCTTTACCATATCAATCTCATTAAACTTCATATGTAGATACAGAGTAAGTTGCTCATCCATCCGGGAAGCAAACCTATTGTATCTCAATTCATCATTGGACTCATCTGTCCAATGAATGTTGCAAAACTGTACAACATAAAACTGGTTAAATAAAATGTAACTCAAGTGTTAGTTTAAATAATATAAAGGAAGATACGTACGGCTGTCTCAACATTGCAGAAGAATCTAAGTGGAGAATTTTCAGATTTCATTTTTTCTCTGCTGTTCAAAATATAGGACAAAATGCTGATTAAATTTGCCTCAATGTCCTCAGAAGGAAGGAAAGTCTTGAAAGCAGGTAAGAAACATTCAATTTGTCTCCACTTAAAAACTATTTCACTGAAAAAACAGTAATAATATTCAATTTAATAAAGGGACAAAATACTAAAAAGAGGGAGTCTCACACCTAAAAATAAAAGATCAAATAAGATTTATGAACTCACAAATTCTCTTCTTCATCAGATTCATCATCTGAATGCCTTGCTTCTTCTCTATGCACCCAATTCCATATAATTCTTTCCAGCTGACTTTGCCTAGCAGTAATCTCAGATACCCTCTGCACCCATGGTGACCGAAGAGACGTTGCAGGCTTCACCATCCTCTTTTCTTTCCCCCTTCCCGCATGTCCCTTATTTTCGGTCACCTGAACTTTCTTACCTTTACGTTCATCTACTGCAGCAGCATCTTCAACTTGTTTATCAGTTCTTCCTATAGAGTCATCAATGATCTCATATTCACAAGCTCTAGCAATCTGTACAACATCAATTATTTCCACTGTCTCAGTCTGAGTATCCTGTGTCAGCCCAAGAGAAAAACTAGGTTCTTCAGTCTGTGCATTTCCAGATTCGTTAAGCTTGCGCCTCACTGGTCTGTCAACCTTACTCATGCTAACAGACACTATAATCTTATCAACCTCTTGAATAAAATTTGGGGAGACTTGTGTTTGTGGTAACTCAGGTGATATTGGATCACCAGCAGGGGAGCCATGCATATCTCTACTCACCTCGGTGTTCACATTAGGGGTATCATCAACAATGTTTCCCCCAGTTGTTTCATTATCACAGGTACTTCCACGATGTCCACACCCCTGCACAAGAACATTTGAAACTCTCTGTTGAATTTGAAAGAGCTCGTTATCATTGGGGAACAGCTTTCTCATTGTCTCACACTCTGCATCATATCTACCTTTTGCAGATTCTAACTCAGCAGCTCTCTGTTGCACCCTCTCAATACAATCCTACAGTTTGAATATCACAGACATTGGTCACCATAAATTATTAACATGGCGAGAGACTAGATTCGATAGATTGAGATTACATTCAATGTATTTGAATCGAGATTCAAATTACTGAATCCAGAGTCGACTAAAGTAAATCCAGTTTCACTTTAGTGAATCGAGATTCAATAGCAGTGAATCCAGATTCACTTCAGTAAATCGAGATTAAGTATCATTGAATCCAGATTCACTTAAGTGAATCGGAATTCAGTTTAACTTAATCGATAACAACTGATCTGAAACAAGATTCAGTATTAGTAAAACGATTCATTGAACTGAATCGACATTCAGTTTAAGTGAATCTCGATTCACTTTAGTAAAACGATTCATTGAACTGAATCGACATTCAGTTTAAGTGAATCTCGATTCACTCCTACTGAATCGAGATTAAATTGAATAAACAAAGTCTTGCAACTTAATTTGCTAACCTTTCGAATTGTCTCAACACTTTTAGGAGAGTTTCCAGTACCACTCTGCATTCGAGATGAAGGTGCAAGTTCAACCCTCTCTGTAAATGCACCTTTGCCAAATGAATTTGTACTTATTTCCTCTGCCTGTCTTTCCTTTAAGGCCAAGTCAGTCCAGCCTAAAAATGTAGGGGTTGTTCTCTCAACCAACCTCCTCCTTTTGAACAGAACCCAATTGGCATAGAACAGCTAGAAAGATGGAGATAAGAAATAAAGCACACCAATTAGTAATCATCAAGTAAAACTACTTTAACTACAGTAATGTAAAAATAAATCAATATTATACAAGTGACTTACAATCAAAAATGCATGAGGACCCGTGTAGAATTGTTTTGTCGGGTCTACCTTCCACTTGTGTTGGCTTTCTATCATTGAGTCAAGCAAGAAAGAATACCAATTCTATTCAGAGCACTGATCAACATTGTCACCAAGAACTAGAATCTGTTGGTTGACATACGGATTGCTAAGCGATTGGATCATGCTGTTGTGGAAGAGAACCAAGAAATTCAGTTTAAAAAGCAGGTTAACATCAGAACTCTGCTTTAGTTTCTCAGACACAGCCCCTGGAGTAATTTTCCAACCAACACTGTCTGTGAATTGAGCCCTCCATTCATCCACCAATGCTGACTTCCCAATACTAAAGGCTGATATACGCTTCCTGCCCAGAGGTAATCCCATCACTTGATGTACATCTTCCTCTGTGATACTGATTAATCCTCTGGGAAGATTAAGCGCAACGGCCTCACTGTCAAAGGACTGCAGAATCTGGTACCCTAACATATGTGGCAGTTCCTTTAATCCAAATTATAAAAGACCTCCAAGTCCAGCTAGTCTCACCCATTCTTTTTGGGACTCAGAGAGTGACAAGACCATATCAGAGAATATCTTTGGAGAGACCCGTATCCTAGTCAACTCCTTAGGTTCAGACTTCATATTTGCTTTTTTCACAACCTTCTCCAGTGACAAAAATAATATAATTAGATCAAATTATCCATCAGTTAATACACAA